TATTAAGAAAATAAGAATTCAAGGTATTTACAAATAAAATAGCAACTAAAATAGCTGTGAGATAAAATTTTACTTTTTCCTGTTAACTGTTTTGTGTGTGAGTGTGTGGTGTGTGCGTGCGTGTGTAGCTGTCCTTGTTTGTGCTATCTACTTAGGACCGTTTTTTTGTTATATTTGCTAACCTTCTGAGGACCAACTGGCCTTAAGGCTGGTCCTAATGTGGTGGACCCCTATTTATAACAGTATAGTATTGTGTGAAATAACTATAGGTTAAGGTAAGGACTACAGATGATGGATTAGGTATAATGTCAGAGTTGGGACTAAATGCAGTAACTAAAATGAATACAAGTCGATGTAAATTCTTAATATAGAAATTCAGGTATGTGTGTAGGGGAGTGGGTGGTGGGGGAATGCAGGTGAGAAGATGCCTCCTGGGTGCTGAAAAAAATAATGCAACCGTTTTATGCATTTACTTAATCATATTTAGTTACTTTAACACAATTGTTTTATGTTAGCAGGACATAAAACAATTGTGTTAAAGTAACTGAATATGATTAAGTAAATGCAAAAATCGGTTGCATTCTTTTAGCATTGTTGAGCTGTTCAATAATGTGTAGCATAACCCCTGCCATTTATTTATTTATTTATTTATTTCGCATGGGTGAGAAATCTGATAGTCTTTTGTGGTAAAGGTGCCTAATCGGACAGGAGAAAGCATGTAGCACAGTTTGCTGTCTGCTGCAAACGCAACAAACAGGCCTGCGTCTCTAATTAAGTCCGCCGTGGATTCGGACCCCCAGAGATGTTTTACGGCGCAATTAAGGACGTGCCGATCATAAGGTATGAATATTCAGCAGAAAGACAATTAATTAGCAGCCAGAGTGCTACCTCAAGAGCTCATCCAAAAGCAAATGCAAGCCTATAAGATGAGAAGTTAAAGGAGACTTTTCATTTTCATTTCAACAAAAGCGTTTATTTTATTTTTAATTTTTTGCGTTCCTTAATGAACAAATTTGTGTTTTGTCTTGTTTTCATCAGAGGGTGGAGTTGGTCTTGCTGGCAGTCTCTTCCATCAGCTGTTTCTGGGTGAAATCGGAAGGAGGGGGCTGCTACCTGGAAGAACACCTCGGGGCATTCACAGCATATGCTCGGATTATGCTTAATGGTCTAATTACATAAATTAGGCATTCATTATAAGGCACATCATCTGTAACAGATATCTCAATTGGAAGGAGGCGGAAACAAGCAATTCAATTTGTCTGGGAATAGTTTCACCCAATTAGACACTGAGAGACAGAAAATGGAAAAACAATCAGGGATTTACCCAATATTAGTTGATTTTACATCTTTACTTGTCTAATATGCTTTAATATTTGTGTCTAGGCAGATTTAGCATAAGAATAGCAATTTCACTTTATGACCATCAGATGGAGACAGTCAGTCTATCTATCTATCTATCTATCTATCTATCTATCTATCTATCTATCTATCTATCTATCTATCTATCTATCTATCTATCTATCTATCTATCTATCTATCTATCTATCTATCTATCTATCTATCTATCTATCTATCTGCTAATATGAAATACATATATTCTGTAAGTGGAAATGTGTTGGGATGCATGTATGCCATATGTGTGTGTGTTAGAGGGCTGCATCAGTTCATTGACTCCATATGGTGAGAAACAGCAGGACTGATGAGCGCACTACCTGAGGTCCGTGCTTGAGCTGTCGACTGTAACGAAAACAGAGGACCCCCTGACCCCTTCACCCATAATTCATCACAGACAAGATACAAGTCACTTTCCCTTTAATCGTTTAGCTTTTGGTGACAGATGACTCTGTAGAAAGGCATCATCTTATTACACTACACACCATACTTAGCCTGATGACATGTCAAATGGGTAGTGGGGATCAAAGACCGGAGTGGAAGAAATGAAGGTGAGACTGGGAAAAAAAAAAAAAAATCCTAAAAGAGAACACAGGAAAAAACAAAATGACAGAGTAAATATCAATATTTAAGGAAAACATAGAAAATGTGATCATCCTATAATTATCAAGTGAACAGTAATTATTTAAATTCCCATATCATGTATCTATGTAGAAAATGAGAGAATTATACAATATCAAGCAAAGAGGGATCATAATATATTAACAACAAACTCAACAGAGGAGTGAACTTTCATCATGAAGGAAAAAGATTAAAGTGCTCCAGTTAAAAAAAGAGGCATGGATTTTCAAAGGTCAGTCAAACGCAGAGACTTTAAATTCACAGAGGATGAAAATGAGGTGGAAAGCTTTGTGATGAAATGTAAAATTAGTCTGAGATCACAGGATAGAGCAAAAATAATAA